AATTAAAAAGTTAGTCAGGCATGATAGTGCATGCCTGTGGTCCGGGCTAGTAGAGAGAGTGAGGTGGGAGAATTGCTTGAGCCTGGGCAATGGAGGCTACAGTGAGCTGTAATCACACCACTGCACTCAGGTCTGGGTGACAGAGCGAGATTCAGTCCCCTATCCCGCAAAAAAAGACAAAAAATAAATTGGCTACTCCTTCAACAGAGAATCACTGCAAGTCAATCTCAACAGGTGTGGCTGTGGAATCTCATTACGGAGGAGCAGGAAGCAATTAACTGAGAGCAATAATACAATCAGCCACCGCAAGGTCATGGATTTACAGGAATTCGCTATTCATCCACATTCTAAACGCAAAGACAAAACTGTGAGTAACAAAATGTTTGTCATGCTTGCAAGAGACAACAGGAGCTATTGGCAAAATACATTGATTAATTTTCTACTTTAAGATTACCTGTTACTAGTGAACCAGAAAGCGTGCGGGTCCAGGAAGAGGATTTGCTTGAAGGTTTATCTATGAAGGATTAACCAAAAAGTATTTAATTACAGATTCAGAGAGCTTAATATTTTCCGATATTTAGAAAATGTTTAACTGACGACAACAACAAAATGAGTAAGACATAGGATAATTAACAGAGCTAACCCTTGCTAAAATTGTGAAGGTGTAGCCGGGATGGGAGCAGCAGCAGGGGTGCCGGAAGACGCTCCCAGTTTCCCCGATAGGGATGGGGGCTACTCAGCTCCCTCCCCATTGCAATGTTTTCCCGTCGTGCCCAGGTCCTTGGCCTCTCTGACCCCAAGAATGGGGGAAGGGGCCCTGGGAGGCGCGGTGAGCTTACCGTTTCAATGAATATCGTGAACCCAAAGAGTTTTTCTGAAAGCAATTTATTAGGCAGAGAGAGAGAAAGTAGGAGGGACAATTCCCACGCCGCGGTGGAAGGGGATCCACCTAAGGAGCAGCGGAGTTTTAAACCTGGAGTTACTCCCGCCTCATTCATGTTCTTGTCCAATAAAAGGAGTTCTTTCAAACTTCCTCTGGAGTGATTGATCTTAGACTCTGATCCTGGATTGGCTGCCTGGCCCACAATAGAGCCCCCTCCTCCCAGAGCTTTTGGTGGGCTTTTAGAACAAAGATGCTCACCTGGAATTTCTAACTAGCCCGAGCTTGGGAAACTTAGACATAGAACTTTACATTCTCAGATGCGGGCATGGATGGAGGCATGGTGCTGGGATATTTCTGCCTGTGAAGCCACATCCCTTGTGGACTCAGGAAGAGTTTTTTTCCTTAACACAGTCCCTCAAAGGTGAACTATTCATCCACCTATGCACTTCCTAGCTGTATATCCCCCAAATTCTTCCATCTTTACTCCCAGCCTTCTTCTCTCATGACTTCTTCTCAAGGGCTGGAATGACTGGGTCAGAGGGCATGTGGACATTTAGCTATAATCATTTTCCAAAGTGGTGGGACCATCCTACAAACGTTTCATAAGGATTCACATTCATTCATAAAAACCTTAATAGTCTGCATAGTATTTTCAAAAGAAGCAGATCTAGAACCCAGTTCTGATTCCAAGCCCAGGGCATTTTCCACCCAGTAGACTCCAGGTTCTTCTATCCTGCTTTCTTCCCTCAATACTATGCTGCCTTTTTCCTCTAATGCCTCAAGAATGAAGAGCTAGTCATTCACAGGCCATTCTCCCCAGAGTACCTTTTGCCTTAAAGGAGGTCAGTGGTAACACCAAAGAGCTCTAATTGTGGAACTTTCAGGTTCCATAAAAGATCAGTCTGTAGGAAGGAACTAGAGAGGAGAGAGAGGGGGATAACCTCAGTCACAGGAAAGCGCTTAACAGAATCACTCAAATCCGAGAAGGCCATTGATCTGAATAGAGCCATTTCTGATGAAACACAACAGAAGATAGAAAGCTCATCTTTTATTATGTGAACTTCAGGGCAAACATGATAGAAAGCTATTGAACCCTGGCCTCCTCCAATTGATATACAGAAATCAAAGGGAAGCCTGGGATGTCAAATTAAACCACAATTCTCATGTCTGCACCCAGGAGGCCAGAAGCAGGAATCGGCTCCTGGTTTCTTGAGGGGTGGCATGCAGAGTGTGACGAAATGGTGCGGAAATGACTGAGAAGGATGACAATGAAAATCAAGCCCCAGCCTCCTGACTACCCCTCTCAGGTGTGCATCTGTTCCCAATTCCGTGTTACAATTAAAGAGAATGATTTTTATATATTTAGATACTTTCAGTGTCTGGATTTGAATATAGCTGAAGTTAAGTGTACTAATTAATTGTGAATCATTCCAGTACTTGACTGTAAAACCTCTCGAGCCTAATGTGCAAATTTATGTAAAAACAATGTGAAAATTAAAAATGCATTGGCACTTTTTTATAAGCAGAACTGTAGCACTCTGTCTAGTCAAACAGACTGCTCATTTGCAAGTTGTCTATATGCAAAGCATTCTGCCCCTGGGAGCCTAAATCTCCTTAGCAAGTCATCTGAAATTTGAGAAGAGCTTTGTTCTGAACCTGCTTTCTGCTCTCTTCACTTTTCTTCCCTGCTTCTAGCTGTGTGGGCAAAAAGCCTAAGTATGGATGACACCTGGCCAACCCAGCCACAGCCCTCGCCCAAAACAGGAGGCCTGCCCTGAGAACCCCATTTGAGTTCAAAGGAGGGTGTCTGAATATTCTTGTCTTGAGTCATGTGCTTTGGGCCTGGCACTGTAGCCTTCCAACTTTAAGAGAAATTTCAGAATCCAAATCCTTCCCACCTACAGGGCTCAAATTTTCCTTTGCAGATCAGACCTGGCAAAGAGGCTATTTGCTGTTCAATCCTGGGCTAGCTTTCTGCCTTTCACCTAATGTTTGAGGTTAAGAGAATGCGGAGAGGAGAGACTATAAACTAATCAACACTGAATGGACATCTGCCTTAACCAGTTTTCAGGGTGGGGTGCAGTGAGGGGGAAGAGCCAGCCACAAGTGCTCAGGTACAGGTGCTCAGGTGTGAGCGGCAAGGCGTAGATGTTCAGGTGTGGCAGCAGGGAGTGCACTTGGCTCATCTGTACTGGGGAGGGCCAGCTCCTGACAGAAGTAGACCAGAGGTCAGTCCCAGGAGATGCTTGGAGAGGCCAGCAGGGTAGGGCCAAGTCATGACAAATCTAGGAGTGGGAGGGGTGGCCTCTTTGGAAATTACCTGGTTTATCATTTAGCTGTTGAGGAGGGGAAGGAGGTAGGAAAGGCAGAAGGCTCTCCCAGGAATTGGCAGGCAGCCAGTCCAGAACTAATGGCAACCCACTTGTGCTAGAAAAGGCAAGCAGTGAGACCTGACAACTCGGAGATTCTCTCCTGGGCCAGGAGCCACAACAACAAGTGTAAATCGTGGTTTCCCTGGAAGGAAAAGGCTCAGGTTTTTCCCAGTAGCTCAATCCCTAGCCCCCATCACCGCCACCACCTGCCACCAGCGGCTTGGACATTTCCCTCTGTTAGCTCTTTGCCCAGTGGCCCATTCTGCTAGCCACAGCTCACATTTTCTCAAGCTATAAAAAAAGGTTAATTTTCCCATATTGAGTTTCTCTGCAAAAGCTGCTTTCAGTTGTGACCAGAAGTTCCATTGTCCCCAACATGGGTACAACTGTTGTCACCATGATATTCTGAGGCAGTGATACTAAAAGTGTGACCCCAGATCACTGTCATCACCATCGACTACAAGCGTGCTAGAAAGAAAACTCATCCTAGACTTCCAGAACCAGAATCTGCATTTTAACAAGGTCTCCGGGGGAATCCCGTTCACACTGAGTTTTGAGAAGCTCTGTTCTAAGATATTACTCCAATCCCCCGCAAGCCAAACCAACTGTTTTCTTCCCATAATCATAAAGCTGGGTTCCAGTATTTCCAGATAGGAGCCACAGGAAAGAAAATTGTTCTCTCATTTCCCTTTAGCCTTATCTAAAGCACTCCATTTCCTCAACACTTAAGTCCTCATCTGTAAAATGGGGGTGCTAATCCCACTTAATTTAAGATTATTAAATTGATGCATAAATTAGAATTTGTCCTACAATTTGTGAATCATAATTGAAATATTCAATTTTTTTTATTTTGCTGTGTCAATTGGCTTATGAACTCCTGACTCAACTGGGTTATAAACTCCTGAAAACAGGACAGTCTCTTTGCTACATCTTTCTTAATCTTCCCTATACACCAAAATACAGCATTCTGACCATAATGAGGTCAACTATTTGACATTTATGCAAATCTCCCTTGGAATCCCTCTACCAAAAAAAAAAAAAAAAAAAAAATCTAATCTCTATTTATAACTCCAAGCATAAAGAGATCCTGTCACTTTGACCTAATCCTCTGAGGTTCATCCCTCTAAATAATTGTATTGTCTCCATCTATAAAGCACTCTGTTACTATGACAACGCACACATAATTGCATGTGTAAGTAACTGAAGGTGGCTGTGCAAGTCAGATTCCTTTCCACCAGAAAACATTCTGTCCTCCCAAATGTTACTGTCTCAGATTTGCACCAAGGCCCCCGAAGTTTCTCAAACTTCCCTATACTTTATGGACACTACAGAGCAATTCCAGAAAACACTGATAAAGTAGCAAAACTATTGGAAGAGGAAATTGGAGATCTGGGTCCCAGTTCAGAGTCTGACACCTAATTTGCAATATAATTTGGTACAGGGCACTCAAAGATTCAAGACCCTGAACCCTTCTATTTGAAGGGAAATGTGAGAACACTATACGTTCCTATGGCTCAATCCTATAAGATTCTGTACTATGCCAAGTTGATTTTAAGTGTCACTTACCTGAAATTATGCAACAAACCTTCGTGGCATTAAACATTAACACGGCTCTTTTTATATGGCATGGTTCATTATCATGCCAATAAATGATTAATCTTAACTCTCTGTCTTGACCAATAATTTTGCTGGATGTTTATGATCCAAGTGTGCTCTGTGTTGTAATGTTACCTCTCGAAACTGACATACTAGCATTTATTGTTTTTTATTACTTCCCTAAGGTGGCTTTCAAAAGAGACACCAAGTGACATATTTTTAGGAGGGCTTTAAAAGTTTGATGGGGTGGAAGTAAACACTGCTTATCTCAACTGGCAGCAGAGCCAGGGCCCAGGGACCAGCGCTTCTGTGGACTCAGCCTGTTGAGCAGCAGTCCCAGCAATGAGTGGCCGGAACATCTGTGTGGACAATGCAACAGTTTGCTCCGGCGCATCCTGTGTGGTACCTGAGAGCAATTTCAATAACATTCTAAGTGTGGTCCTAAGTACGGTGCTGACCATCCTGTTGGCCCTGGTGATGTTCTCCATGGGATGCAACGTGGAAATCAAGAACTTTCTAGGGCACATGAAGCGGCCGTGGGGCATCTGTGTTGGCTTCCTCTGTCAGTTTGGAATCATGCCCCTCGTGGGATTCATCCTGTCGGTAGCCTTTGACATCCTCCCCATCCAGGCTGTGGTGGTGCTCATTATGGGATGCTGCCCTGGAGGAACTGCCTCCAATATCTTGGCCTATTGGGTTGATGGCGACATGGACCTGAGGTAAGATTATCTACACTTCTAACTCCTGCAATCGCCTGGGGGTCATCCTTCCAGAAGCCTATGGCATTCTGAATGTCCAGCTGATTTGCCATCGATCTAAAGTATGACTAAGGAATTAAACAGGAGGGAATAAATACATTCACATGCCTTCTAGCACAGCTGTTTGGCTATTGGAATCGGGGGATTTATATTTTGTGTTTGTGCTTTGAAATCTAACTCAGTTAACAGGGAGTTGCATAATTGCTGTTGATCTCTAGGAAAAGATTCAAAGTTTTTCAAAAAAGTAATCTTTTCCAAACCACAAGCTGCAGCTGTGGAGGTTTATCCCGTTGGCAGCAGGAAAAAAACAAAAGCAAAATACACTTTCTTTGTAATGATGAAGAGCTCTGGGTACAATCATAAAATCAAACTATTTGTCAAACATTAGACACTAGTGAGATAGCGGTCAGCTCCGCCAAATATAGCCAGTTCTTTGGGCAAACATTTTCCTGGTATAAAACCTAAGGAAGAATTCATAAATTTGCTTTACCTCTACTGGCATTAAAAGTGGGGGAAAAAAAGCCTACAGCAGATTTTTAAAAATTATGCTTACTTTACTACAAAATAAACAAAATGGTCTCTCCACCTCGCACAGAATAATCTAAATTGCAATGTTTGCCCAATTCATCCCATGCCAGTCTGAACTAGCACTGGAGGAAAAAAAAAAAAACTAATAGAAATAAGATGAGCATTAATGTGACTAGACTGAGAATTTTAATGCTGAAAGTTGAATGGACAAATGTCTTTTTCCTTAGCTCACAATTCATTTCTTGTGATAGGTATGCATTTCCTTCTGCAAACCATCCAGATGCTAATGCAACATGTACTTATTACATACTGTACAGCAGGCAATCAGCTCTGTTCATCCCCAGCTAATATAGGCAGAGGACGGAAGCACAAAGTGTAGCAATGTAAGCACTGGATTGACAGAGTACCCAGTGAGCAATTAGGAACCTGCTATCTCATCTCAACTGGTGCTGGTTCCTCAAGAAGCTTTGGAAAAGCCAAACAAACCCTATACCTTCACATGGCTCAGTCTTTCACATAAGAAAACACATAGTATCCACCTTCCAATTGCTTTTTCTTAAGAAAAGCCTATAAAAGAACAAAGAATGGCAAGTGCTATTCAGGGGTTTAGTTAATCTGTGAACCACACTGTAGCAATAAGTTCTTTTTAGACTTCAGTGTAGTGTGACCCGGACGCAGACACAGAAGTGAGAATTCAAAATGCCGGTAGTTATTAAACTGAGAAAAGTGAACTACATGGAACCTGGGGCTTCGACCTCCACCAAACAGCTTTCTCATGATATTTGTAACTTTTAATGCAGAAGAGTTTTGTACCTCAATGTAATGCCACACATGGAACCCTTTTATAAGACCGGAAAAATAAAATGTGTGTGGTGCTAGGCTATTAGGTTGTTGAAATGAATTCTTTTCTGTGAGCTAACATAGTAAAATCTAACCTAAAAGCTCCAAGTTTCATTTTTCTGTGATTTTAAGGAAATCTTATTTCTCTTGAAACAGGAGATGATTATGTAATCCTGTCTACCTAGCATAACAATTCTTATAATTTTTTTGAAATCAGAACCAAAGTAGAACATGAAACCTTGGTAGAAACCTCCAGCTATATCCATGCAAATGAATCCTTCCAGCAAGTCAGAATAATGCCTATAATGAGACATGGAGCAAATTCACCTCTCCAGAGTTCAACAAGACCCAATAAGAGATCTGCACACCCAAAATAAATTTCACTTAATCTCATAAATGCTCCTCATGCAGAACCTACTTAACTATTTTTATTCTAAAGCTTTGTTGTGCTATTTCCCAGAAATAAGAAGTGGAGAAGGAAGCAGAGTGTTAAGAAAGGCAAAACAGAATATCAAAAGCCTACAAATCAAAGCAGACCACTGACAACACACAGCCATCTCTCCATCACTTATTCTCTCTGGTTTCTGTTGCACTTATTCTAGTTTCTGGTCCCTGTATCACTTATTCTTCTTCAAACACAAGAAGATGTCACTGCCTTTTAGAACAGCTGATAATCATGTTTATCATCAGAGCCTTAATCATTGAGAAGAGATTCAATTATAGTGCTGTGTAAGATGGTATTCCGCATTGTATGTTAGGAAAACAATATTCTAATATTTCTTCAATACAAATTAATTCAAAGAGTAAAACCTAAGCTATTAGGTAACAGTTTTCTGAAATTTATTATTCTTCTGGATGGAGAATTGGATAAAGTCTCCTGATAATTTATTTAGATACAATGCTAGCTAACATTTATATTTCCAATTGTGTACACTTAGAACCTTACATTCTCCATCTCCACTTGAACTCTAGCGACGGCATGAAGACGCGATTGTTTATGTCAACAGGCACCTTCACTAATAGAGCTGATACCACACAATGCCAGCAAAGCCATTCCACCTGGTTCTAACTCTCCTGGTTATGGTTCTTGGGAGAAGAAACAAGAACATTTCCCTCTCGCCCTGTCACCTCTTACGAACCTGGAAAGCCACTGCATTTTGCAATCTCTAGTGACTTTGAAAAATAAAAGACAACAAACAGTAATCCTTGCTCATTGAAATCCAGCAAGCACTATTTCAGTTCCTTCTCTGACTATTCCCAGCCTGGAAAGTTGTTTGTGAATCTGATCGGTGCACATTTCGTTTCACCTAAGTTACAGCTGTGCCATGGACATCACATGCACAAAAAAGCGTCAGACAGAAGAGAAGGTGACCTTTCAGGTGAATCTGCTGGTGGCCAAAACCCATAGTTCAGGGGACACAGAAACCTCCTGTTTCCTTTGTGACTGCTCTCTCCGCAGACACAGGCGAATATCTGGGGTCTTCATCCTTCTTAATGGCCTCAGCCACACCATGAAAAGAGCTCATCTCCTTTCTTTGGCTGTTGCTTCGGAGAATCCATTCTTATGCATCCTTCTCTCAGTTTCCCCAATTCCTTCCTTACCACCTACTTTCTACTTTCCTTTTTATTATTTTATAGATTTTCTATTTTATAGACTTGCTTATCACATCCTTTGTTCTTTGGGCAAATGCTGTTAAACTTTTCCCCTTCCAGTTCAGTATTCATTGATATTTTAGATATTCCAGAAACGTGACCCTCTGGCTTATCACAAATTCACAGCACTCAGTCCTTCCTATGTCAACCCCACAAATGTCTTTCTCTTCTCTACACTGGGAGAACTAACCCAAAACCATTTGGCTTTTTTCTTTATTCTCCCTCAAAGTAACCAAACATTGTTCCTCTCCAGTAGCATTTATTTTGCTAGCTAATATTTATTAAACATTATTAAACAATTAAGGGTATTAAACAATGCACAGTACTAAGGACTCATATACAATGGTATATTTCATCCTCAGAAGAATCCTCTAAAGTTAAAACTATTATTTTCTGCATTTGGCAGATAATTAAGATTCATAACCTTGACCAAGGTCATTGAGTGGATGCACGCCGGAGTCAGAACGGGAATCACCGAGCTCTAGCCCTTCCCCTGTGCAGGCTCGTAAGCTTTCTCTACACTGTTTCTACCACTTATCATTTCTCCAATGTCTATACTACGTTTGATCCTTCAACTTGGTATTTTACTCCTAATATGATTAAAATCTTTTGCATTGCTTAACACTGACTTCACTGAATTCCTCAACATTCACTAAATTTACATTTATTCTTTCTGCTATTTCCATACACACAAAAAAATTCTCCCTGGCAGTTAATAGAGCTGAAGTTGAAATTAAAGCCTTTGTTTTTAAATTTTCTTACACTTAAGTATTTTCTCTCATTCTAATAGAAGTGCATGGTAGTACATTTATTTTTGATATCCATGCCTTTTATAGAACTTCAGATTTTTCATGTAAGATATTTTCTGGCTGAGCATGGGGGCTTATGCCTGTAATCCCAGCACTTTGGGAGGCTGAGCCAGGTGGATCACTTGAGGTCAGGAGTTTGAGACTAGCCTGGCTAACATGGTGAAACCCCATCTCTAATAAAAATACAAAAATTAACTGGGTGTGGTGGCACACACCTGTAATCCCAGCTACTTGGGAGGCTGAGGCAGGAGAATTGCTTGAACCCAGGAGGCAGAGTTTGTGGTGAGCTGAGATTGCACCACTGCACTCCAGCCTGGGCAACAAGAGTGAAACTCTGTCTCAAAAAAAAAAAAGATGGTATTTTCTTTTGCTAATTTGTGTTTCTATATTATTTCTTAAAATTTGTTATCTGTGGATTTTTTTAACCTCATTTTGAGTGGTTTGATTTTGTTCTTATATTCATTCAAATAGCATCAACTTCCAGCCACCTATTGTCCTGTTCCTCTGCAGGAGCTCTTCGTCAAGGCCGCCCACAAATCTAAACCTTTCCTTCTCCAAATCCTCTTTGGTCCCTCCTCATGATCTTTGAGAAACTGTTCTCACCAAACTCAAAATTATGATACAACCTCATAGATTATCTTAGCAATATTCAGAATTAAAGGTTTTGCAAGGAACTTTGAAAGAAAAACAAAGACAGAAAAAGACTTCCTTCTGAAACATTTTCTCACATTTAATCAGCCTTCTCTTTACTGTGAACCAGGTAATACATCCTCCTCACTTCCCCCCACCCTGTGACTTCCACCACACTCTAGAAAAAAATATTGGATGCACAGAAACAAAAGTGAATTTATTATTGGGACAACTTTAAATCCATTCTGATATAGTTTTTAAAATAAAAGATAAAAGAGAGAACACTGAGAAGGGGAGGAAGGAAGAGAGAAAAATATCACCTTCAAACTCCAATACTTTCATTGTAAGTAGGACAAAGCGCTATTAATAACAAATTAACTTATTTGTCTGGTGTCAAATTCTGCCTTAGTATCTATTTTATATCTAAATTAAGTTAACCTATGACCAGAATAGAATTTTAAATACATCCATAGCATTCGTTACTTTATAATATTTTAGCTCTACTAAAACAAATATTTTTATCTAAACTATTTAAACCTATTTTAAATGAGGTCATTCTGGTTAAAATATATATATATTATTAAGGAAATTAAGCTCCCTGAGAGACTTTGCCCCCAGCCTTTATTTTGCCAAACTGTCCAAATTTATCTACATGCCTCGAAACAAATTTTCTCATTGTCAGCTACTATCTTTTTATTTATTTATTTATTTGGTGATGGGATGTAGTCTCACTCCGTTGCCCAAGCTAAAATGCAGTGGCCCCATCTCAGCTCACTGCAACCTCCACCTCCCAGGTTCAAGCAATTCTCCTGCCTCAGCTTCCCAAGTAGGTGGGCCTGGCTAATTTTTGTATTTTTAGTAGAGACGAGGTTTTATCATATTGGTCAGGCTGGTCTCGAACTCCTGACCTCAGGTGATCCACCTGCCTCGGCCTCCCAAAGTGCTGAGATTACAGGTGTGAGTCACTGCACTGTCCCATCAGCTACTTTCTTAGTGTGTTGTTATTGTTGTTGTTTTGTGGGGCAGGTAATATAAATATTTAGCATTTTCTTTCAGGTACACACATCATACCTTTAAGAAACTACTACTCTTGACAACCTCAGTTATGACCTATTAGGGGAAGGGCCTTTCAGAGAAATTTCTTTTAGTTTCCTGATTCTATTTAGTGGAATACAAAATACACAAACATGATACATAAGTGATCACAGCAAAGGGATGCAGAGTGCAGTGGCTACTGCCTAGCTGAGGTGGGAGGATGCTTAAGTCCAGGAGTTTGAGACCATCCTGGACAAAGGGTGAAACCCCATCTCTAGAAAAAATTTAAAAATTAGCTGGGCATGGTGGCTTGTGCCTGTAGTTCCAGCCAGGCATGATGTCTTGTGCCTGTAGTCCAGCTACTCGGGAGACTGAGGTGCAAGGATCACTGGAGCATGGGCTTCAGTGAGCCAAGATAGTGACTAGCCTGGGTGACACAGAGAGATCTTATTGTTTAAAAAAATGATAGTAGCAACCAGCTTTTAATAGAGTGCTTTGCATTGTTCTGAGTGCTGGACACTGTTGGCTCATTCTATGCTCACAGCCATGTTAGATAAAGTAACTGGTAAAGAGAAGTCAACTAAATTACTCAGGTTAACACACTTTAACACACTAAGTGGCACCACCAACTGCTTTCAGCCCAGATAGTGTGTGGCTTTAGAGCTCAGGCTTCAAAGGCAGAGAAGGTACGCGGTGTATAGATCACTTTGAAGGGGACCAGGAAGACTCACTCTTTGACCCATGGTCCTAGTACTAGATTTAGCATCATTTGGTACTAATTTCTCCATGTAGAAAGCCTACTCAGCCAGACCCACTTACTAAAATACAAATGCTCTGAGCAGGTATGATACCAAACACTATGTGCTCAGTTCTTCTGAAGACGCATTGCTAAATTGTCAGAGGCTTGCTCAGTCCTAAGGATTTAGGGCTACCCTGGCTGCTTGCACATTTGCTTTTGATTTTTAAGTGTGCTTCCTCTTCTTTCTCAAGCTAGGGTCACTTGGGCAGTAATTTTTTTGCTTCATGGCAACACACTGAGGCCTCCTCCCTCAGACATGCATTCTATTCCAGGAACCCAGGGAGGCCCGTCCTATCTGAGCATGGTCAGACACGTGCAGCCCTTGTAGTGTTGGCTGCTCTAAATGTATTTGCTGTTCTCTGATGGAATGTTTGAAGGATGGCACACCCAGGGAACCTTACATTGTTTAATGATGATTTTTACCCCATCATTTAATACTGCTTCTGACCCTTGAGAACAAAAGGGGAGTGGAGGATGGCACAAGGCAAAGTGGAAAGACACCAAATATGGCTTATTTTGCTCCAGATCAGGCCCTGAGCACACTCAGGCACGTGTATATTGCTATTCATCACACCAGGTGATGATATAGGTTGAGATAGGTTCTTGCAGGACTTTCTAATCATGAATTGAAAATAAAATTTTGCTCCCATTCTGGAGGTTGTCTGATAGTTAGTTGATAGTTTCTTTGCTATACAGAAGCTCTTTAGTTTAATTAGATTCCAACAAAACAACAAACAAACCAATTAAAATGGGCAAAGGACATGAACAGACACTTTTCAAAAGAAGTCACACATGCAGCCAAAAATCAAATAAAGCTCAACATCACCGACCATTAGAGAAATGCAAATCAGAACCACAATGAGATGCCATATCACACCAGTCCGAATGGCTTTTATTAAAAAGGCAAAAATTAACAGATGCTGGCAAGGTTACAGAGAAAAGGAACAATTATATACTGTTGGTGGGAGTATAAATTAGTTCAACCATCGTGGAAAGCAGTGTGGCAATTCTTCAAATACCTAAAAACAGAAATACCAAGCAACCCATCAATCCCATCACTGGGTATATATCCAAAAGAATACAAATCATTCTATTATAAAGACACATGCATACATATGTCCATTGCAGCACTATTCATAATAGCAAAGACATCATATCAACCTAAATGCCCATCAGTGGTAAACTGGGTAAAGAAAATGTGACACATACATACCATGGAATACTATGCAACCATGAAAATGGATGAGATCATGTCCTTTGCAGGAACATGGATGGAGCTGGAGGCCATTATCATTAGCAAAGTAACACAAGGACAGAAAACCAAATAATGCATGTTCTCACTTATAAGGGGGAGCTAAATGATGAGAATACAGGGACACATAGAGGGGAACAACAGACACTGGGGCCTATTGAAGGGTGGAGGGTGGGAGGAGGGAGAGGGGCAAGAAACATAATTAATGGGTACCAGGCTTAATACCTAAGTGACTAAATAATCTGTAAAAAAAAGACAAAAAACCATGACACAAATTTTCCTGTATAACAAATGTGCACATGTACCCCTAAACTTAAAAGTTAAATTAAAAAATGAAAATAAACTGTGTCCACTAGAACACACAGGTGGATCAGGTGTTCTAGGATCAACCTGCCTGTTGCCTTTCAGCATCAGCATGACCACATGCTCCACACTGCTTGCCCTTGGAATGATGCCGCTGTGCCTCCTTATCTATACCAAAATGTGGGTTGACTCTGGGAGCCTCAAAATTCCCTATGATAACATAGGTAAGTCATCCCTGTGCAAGACTGTTAACTGTTACCCTCAAACTCTCTGCTTACCCCCACTAACCTCCCAGACCAGGCTCACACCCAACCATTATTGCCCTTGCAGCAGTTTTTTGCCCAATTTTATTATAAAGTCACCCCCGTGTTTGATGAGCGTTGGCAGAATGTAAATTCCAAAGCTTGACCTTATGGAGGAATCTGCTTTTTCTGCAATTTCAATCTCCAGGGAGAGGAACCCCCTCCCCACACCTGTCAGTCTGGACTGAGGAGGCTTAAGCTTTGTAGATGTGGGAGCCTCCACCTATTCCTTAACCCAGAGTATCTCTAGTTCTTAGTCATAGGATTTTGCCTCCAGACACTCCAAGAAACTTTTTTTTTTTTTTGAGATGGAGTCTCACTCTGACACCCAGTCTAGAGTGCAGTGGCGTGATCTCAGCTCACTACAACCGTCATCTCTTGAGTTCAAGCAATTCTGCTGACTCAGCCTCCCTAGTAGCTGAGATTACAGGCATGCACTACCACACCCAACTAATTTTTGTATTTTAGTAGAAACGAGTTTTCACCATTTTGGTCAGGCTGGTCTCAAACTCCTGAGCTCAAGTGATCTGCCCACCTCGGCCTCCCAAAGTGGGATGACAGGCATGAGCCACCATACCCAGCCTGAAGAAATGTTTTAAAATCCTATAGTAGTGTCAAAATAGAGCACTGAGTAAGCAATGTGGAGTATTACAACAGAAAACTACTAGTTGAAACACACTGTTTCTAACACTCACCTGTGAGCCACATCTTGAGGCAAAAATGGATTTAATGGCAAAGTCTGTATCTCATGCTCCAGAAGTCAAACTTACTAGTAATAACCCTGTCTCATTTCATCCCCATTCCAAAAATCTTATTTTCTGTTTTCAGATAAACAAACTATAGTGGGAGATTAAGTTATTGTTGTAACTTAGAGATGAGAGTCAAGGGAAGAACAAAAGAGTTCCCGGTACACCAGGAGTAAGCATTGCCCACAGGACTATCACAAATAAAAGACAAGATGTAGGCAAAATAGTACATTAGTATCAGTCACCATGTACACTACATGCTAAATAGTTGGATCTCTTTCCCCAGTGACCTTGGAAACAAATCTCAATGAGCTGCCTCAAAAAGGTGTGGGTTTCCCACTGAAGGAAGCAGAGAAGCAAAGGCTAGCCAGTGAGCCACATGGATGCTTGCAAGAGGGGCTCCTGTCAGGATGGGTAGCTGGACTGAAATGCCTTCCATTTCCAGAAAGACTGCTTCTGTGATTTAGTATTATTGAGGGAATACACAACTGAATTAGAATAAACTTGGTGAATGCTAACTGGGGATAATCTGTATTACAATGTTTTTAGTCCTACTCTTACCATTACTATTAGAGAGAAAAAAAAAGTTGTCCTCCTTGACATCCCCTATTCAGTATGGGTTTTTGATATACAAGATTCTCCTGACCCCTGTCAGATGCTGACATCTGGATGGGGAGGAGGCAGACCATGCAGCTGGTACCACTGAAAAAAAACACTTCTGCAAATTGTAGTACCTACTCCTCTCTACCACATTTGTATGTGTCTTGTGCCAAGAAGTTTCTATCAATTTCATCATTTAATTCTCACAACAGCACTATGAAACAGACATAACTCCATCCATTTTACAAATGAGGAAACCAAAGCTTGGAGGGGTTCAATGATTTGTACAGTTCCCACAATTTGAGAATACAGAAAGTTTCAGCTCCAAATCTATTTGGCTCCCAGTCCCACCACATGAATCCATTCACCACTCTCTTTCGTTCTTATTCTTCTTTCTACCTTTCTTTCCTCTGATACCTACTGTATAAACTTGATTAAAGACCAAGTTCCGAATTCAAGGTGAAACTGCCAGGGGATGCTTTTTCATCCACATAGACAGGGAAGAGAGAGCATGGGCATGTGAGGAATATGTAAAACAAAGAGAGCCTGGGGAAAGAAAAGAGCAAGATCACCAGCCCACTGGACACCAAAGAGATACAACATCCTATACAAGCAGGAGCCACACACTGTGGGTGTAAAGAAAAACACAGAGTGACTCAAGTCCCTGAAAAACTTCATCTAGCCTCATCTGGTCAGGAAAGGAAAAGCAATTCTGTCATAGATTTCAGCAGGTGATGCTGCTTATGTGTTTATCCTGTTGGCTTGGATGCCCTTAAGAGATGAAGACTCTTAGCAGGAAGGGCCAAACAGATTCAGCACATTAAAATATAGGATCAAAACCTAACTAACCACGCTAACATTCCAAACACAGGACTTGCACCCTACATTTAAGCTACCACATCACAAACAAGTCATGTATCCAGATTGTTTAAATTTAAGACCTATAAACTTCAAAAACTTAGGCAATGGTCTAAAGACCCAGGAGAAGTTGTTTTCCCCCTGTATTCATCTGTGTTCACAATGCTATAAAGAATTACCTGAGACTGGGTAATTTATAAAGAAAAATTTAATTGGCTCACAGTTCCACAAACTGTACAGGAAGCATGGCTGGGGAGGCCTCAGGAAACTTTCAATCATGGCAGAAGGGAAAAGGAAAGCAGTCACACCCTACATGGCTGTAGCAGGAGGAAGAGAGCAAAGAGGGAGGTGCTGCACACCTACAGACAATGAGATATCATGAGAACTCACTATCACAAGAACAACAAGGGGGAAGCCTGCCCCCACAATTCAATCACCTCCCACCAGGCCCCTCGTCCAACAGACACCTCCTCTAATTGTAATCCTCCAAATGGGGGTTATAATTCAACGTGAGATATGGGTAGGGACACAGAGCCCAGCCATATCACTCCCAAAGCAGCAGGGTGCAGATACCCAAGGGGGATTTTTCTGGGGGATCTCAGCAGTACATGTGTCAATGCCACTCTTTCACATCCTTTTTTCCATTATTCCCTCCTTACTCCCCTTCATCCATCTTTTTTATTCCTACTCTTAGTATCTTTAGTCATTACTTAATTCTGCTGAATAATTTCTGGCAAAAGTCATCACTGACCCTTAGACTACAAGGAAATTAAGTTTTCATCATTACTGCATTCACTTTAATTAATATCCATAGCCTTGGATTCTAGAATCCGTTTTCCAGTCTGAGTTAAATCTACCTAGTTCAGTCAATACTAAGCAACAGAATTTCATTGTTCAATATCACTTTCTCATACTGCTTTAAAGGGATGTTTGAAAAAGAAACAACCTATGAAAAGTTAGAAGTTGTTGGTGCTAAATTATTTGAAATCAGCTATTGGACAAATGAGTGTTAAATAACGTGGAGCAACAAACCATATATCACAAGAACAGCAGTAAATTTAGCATGGTGAAATTGAAGTATGGCTCTTTTATCTGGCCGGGTGAGCATGTTATGGCAAAGAACTATAATTACATGAGAGGTCGTCAAATATATTATCTCATGGAAAATTTAAAGCACGCTTTCTCCACTCATGTTCTCACCCCTCTGCTGTAAATTTGAATAACTAAAACTAGGTTTAACTAGAAGTCATGAGATGTCAGAATACCTGGTGATCTTGAGCTAATTTGGGGCATTTTCTGTCATTATAAAATATTTTTAAATTATTTTTTATTTCTACTATCATTAAAAAATGTAAAATATTGCCTTTTTATGACACACACACACACACACACACACACACACACCTTGTTGAGGCATTTTTCCTAGAAATATAAAGACCAAGGAAGCCAAGATTCTGACAAAGTGAAACTAATGTATACGGAAAATATAAGAAACTCTAAAAAATTAATCCAGAATTTAGTGAAAGAATTTACAGCATTGATATTATCAATTATCTACTGATAATATTAAATTATTTACTGGAGTGGGTGAGGAAGGAGAGAGAGACAGAGAGAGAGAGAGAGTGTGTGTGTGTGTGTGTGTGTAATTCTGTATTCTGTTTTGTGTATTCTAGAAGGAAGACTGAAATATTATGTAAGCCTTTTTTAGGCTGATTACTCTTCTGTTTGTCTCTTTCCTGTGTCACCTGTTCTGGTGATCACATTGCCCTCCTGTCATCTTTAGGTACATCTCTGGTTGCTCTTGTTGTTCCTGTTTCCATTGGAATGTTTGTTAATCACAAATGGCCCCAAAAAGCAAAGATCATACTTAAAGTAAGTATCCCAATCCACACCGTTAAATGTTCCACAGTGACAATCAAAACTATAGGGTTTTCCATCCATGAAATGGTTTTGTTCTTATTTTGTGATTACTGTTGAGTGGGGGTCTGAAGTCATCAGCCATTCAGTCTCCTCTTTTCGAATGCCCTTCTTTATCTGTGTGTAGAGAGAGAGAGATGGGATCTCACTATGCTGCAATGCTGTTCTTGCACTGCTGTGCTCAAGTGATCCTCCCAAATGCTGGGATTACAGGAATGAGACATTGTGCCCAGCCTAGCATGCCCTTCTGTATTGCAGTCACAGGAAAAATTTCTACCCATTTTTTAAGACACTCAACTGAACTATCGCCTCTTGGTTTTACTCTATTCTAACTCTGTTATGTGAGTTTGTGTTATACAATATATATAAATGGCTTTCTTAGAAAATAGAACATATCTTTTTTATGTCTGTATCCATTTGGCCATTTCATTGCCTGGCAATTGGTAGATGCTATTCATATAGCAACCATTCACTCCCCTTTACCAACTATATTCTAGCTATATGATACAGATAGGAATGCAGGTAATATAGATAGATTCTGCTGCTCAGGAGGCAAAGCAGGTCCCTCGTATTCCTTGCTTCTCTTGACAAAAAGTTTATAATCTCCAAATTTTGTTTTAAATGTGAAAAGAAGAAAAAATAACAACAGGGGTTTTTTTTTTTTGCTTGTATCTTTTTTAAACTTGTATAGAGTTTTATATCCATTTTCTCATTATCCCAACAATCATAAAAGGTAGCTGGGGTGAGATTTTATCCCCAATTACAAATGAAGAAACTACAGTTTATAAAGTTCATGATTGACTAAAGGAAACAGAATAGGAGTAGTTGAATCTAGAAACCAAGAATTCCAGGCTGTCACTGAAACGGGTTGTCTTTTTTTTCTGACAGGGATAATTTGCAAGCTAAAAAATCTTCAGGCTAATTTCAAATGGATGCTACATGTCCTGTTGTGTTCTTAAAGCTTAAAGCATGGGACAAGCGCCAGTATTTCCAGTGGGCTGATTGCAGCCTTCTGGCTAGAAGTACATAGAAAGACAACTTTATCATCACTTCCCCCAAGGACAAGGAGACTGCTGAGGTTTTGTCTCACAAAAATACTTGGATTTGCTTTGACTCTTGATTGCTGGGTTCACTTCTTCCTTTTACTCCAGATTGGGTCCATCGCGGGTGCTGTCCTCATCGTGCTCATAGCTGTGGTTGGAGGCATATTATACCAAGGCGCCTGGATCATCCAGCCCAATCTGTGGATTATAGGGACAATATTTCCTGTGGCGGGTTACACCCTGGGGTTTCTTCTGGCTAGAATCGCTGGTCAACCCTGGCACAGGTATGGCGTTTTAGTAAATCACATTGGGAATTTTCATCTGTAATAGCTGTTGTATTCCTTTGCTAGAGTTGCCATAAGATAGAACCACAAACTGAGTAGCTTAAACAACAGACACTTATTGTCTCACAATTTTGGATACTAGAAGTCAAAATGAAGGTGTCACTGGATGGCTTCTTTCCTAGGGCTATGATGGAGGCATCCCTTATCTGCCTCCCTCATGGCTTGCAGACAGCTGTCTTCCTTCAGTGCACGTCTCTGTGGCCACACCTCCCTTTTGATAAGGACACCAGTCATATTGGATGAGGATCCCCCCCATCTTAACTCATTGTATCTGCAATGACCCTGTTTCCGTATAAGGTTACATCCTGAGGTGTGGAGTGTTAGGACTTCAACGTATGAATCTGTGGGAGAGGGTGACATAATCAACTCATAACAGCTGCAAACACCAAAGACAGGAACAAAGTCCTTCGCCTCTCATCACATTCATCCTATTTCTGAATATGTTATTCTAAATTGACCCATTCATTCCAAATTCATGCAAGTCCCCAGGAAGAAAATACTGACCGCCTCTTTTTTGCTCAAAGTCTTCTGGACCATTCCTCTTACAGTGCAGATGGGGCTCTTCCATTGCTAGGCATTCTTATTCTCTGCGTGGAGTACATTAATGAAAGCAGTTGGGTGCTGTGAAATAGACAAGTGTTCCTCCAGCTGGCAGCAGGGTGAGCTCATCCTCCAAAGGCGCCAAATATTAGAATGGGTTTAGCACTTCTAGATTTCGTACTGGGTAGAAATGATTCTTTTTGACTAATCCATCTAATAGACTGGCAGAGAGAACACAGGTGTAGAGACAGATGCATGTATGAGGTTGGGAAAGAGAGGAGTGGCGTTGGGCAGTGGGAAGAGAACAGTATTTGAGTCAAGCAGACCTGGGATTGTCTTCCAATCCTACCACACACCACCCAGAGGACCTCAGGCCTAGCACTTCCTCTTTCTCTGAGTTTTATCATCTTTAGAAACAACAACTAAAACATATGCTCTCTTAACATCTTCTTTAGGTGCCGAACGGTTGCTTTTGAAACGGGGATGCAGAACACGCAGCTTTGTTCCACCATCGTTCAGCTCTCCTTCACTCCAGAGGAGCTCAATGTCATCTTCACCTTCCCCCTCATCTACAGCATTTTCCAGCTCGCCGTTGCCGCAATATTCGTAGGATGTAAGAAATCAAGCCGATCCCATTTTATGATGATTTTCTTTGAAAAATCCTGGAGTTACTAAAACAACATTTTTTTAAAACTCCCTGTTTCTGGTGGTGAATTGTACAAATACATGTGAGGAAAAATCCACCATAATATTATCGTGACTTTCAGTTGCTGATGAAAAGATTGTAGTTTTACCAAAAGATTCTAGCAAATATTATTTTTAAGTGAAAAGTAATGGAGGCCAATTCTCTCCACTGACTTTCTTTTCCTCAGTAACTAGGAAGGCAGAGGAACTGGTTGGGAGCATTATATTGTGCGCCTTTAGGCATTCGCCCAGGGACTCAGGAGTTGGCAATCTCTTCCAAAACATTGTCTTGATACATTTTATAAACATCGGATATTTATCAGAAAACTGGTATACAAAGAAAACTTACCAGGCTAACACTTACAAGGCAGATGTGTGTGTGCATACATGTGTATATATATGTATATATATTTTCAAATACCCAGATAATTGAAGTGGTCGAAGCAAAATGTTCTTTATGTAAAGTGCTAGGTGTAATTTAAGTAATTCTTACTTCCGCTGTGCTGTGGCACGAAGCTCCCAGTGTCTCCCATCAGGCCCCGCCACCCACTGGCCTTCACCTAGTTGAAAATTCTTTCTACATTTTCCTTTCCAAGGACTGATAATATCGAACCTCTATTTTTACACTCTAATTTTTAAATAAAAAAGCTAGTTTTTAAAGCCTCGTGACCTTTTAATGGAGAATATAAAGGGAAGGCATACAACAAAAATAACGTAAAAGTTAAGTCACAGAATGTCCAGAGACACAATTTGGTCTTGTTTGGTTGTGCTTTACCCTTCTACTTAGCTTCATCAGGTCTTCAGCTTGTCCTTGGATGCTAATCTCTGCACTACTGTCTTGAATGTCATTCTCAAAGCAGAGGCTTCCTTTCTAGAATAGAATACTCTGGATCCACTGAAAACATCCCACGGATTTACTGCTGCTACAGGAAGCAGGAGCCCATGCCTAATTACTTTGTTTCCTGTAGAGTAACCCTTGTTTGATTGTACAGAGCTCTGCCCAATTTGGCACACAGTGGGATCTTTCCAAATAATTACTTAATGATGGCTACTAGACAAGCCAGAGAAAGTGGACTGGTTGAGAGAACAATTAAGTACATGCACTAGTTGAAAACTAACCCCAAAGGGATTGGTTAATAAAAAGTCAAGTTGAAGGAATGAGGAAAGGGGAGCATTCAGATTGGTCTGGAACTTTCCCACAGTTATATCAGTAAAGTATAAAAATGAGAAAGGAATCTTTTTTGAGTGCATACAATGGCCTGGAAGCATATTTTAGCGATAAAAGTGGGATTCTAAATATATTTTGGAAAAGAGACAGGGAGGAAAGAAAGAAAAGAAAAAAGGAAAGATGGGAGAGAGAGAGGGAAGGAAGAAAAGAAGGGAAGGAAAGAAAAAGGTATAAATAAGAGGTATGGTTTGGTTAAATAAAATTATTTGCATAAGTTTAAGTTGAGGGACTCTCAGCTTAAAATTGCCCTATTATTATGGCCATTTTATATGTGAGGTATTAACATTTGAGGGGAGGGTCCTATAAGTAGTATTTTCTGTCCTCCTCTTGCCTTTGTGACCAGTTGAGAAGTAGAAGAAAAATCAGATATTCAGATTACAAAATAGCACTTTTGCTATGGATAAAACTTAAATGGGAAATATGGCTTGAATCCACAACCAAATGGGCTTGTGGATACCACCCTTTCCCCCACGGCCTCACACATGTGCAGACATGTACTCACACACACAAATACACCGCAGGTCTTGCCTTGCAGGGCAGAGCCTATCCTGGTGAGCTGACCTTAAAAATAAGCTGAGAAATGCTTGCTACCAGAGACCAGCAGCTCCACAGAAAAGAAGGTTGATCACCCATCAGCTGAGTCTCTTCTTTCTGTGTAAAAGACAGAATGAAGACAGGGAGGGAATGGGAATGTTGCAGTTCAAGTCCTTCTATGGACTTGAAAGACCATCGAACCAAGGTCCTGGAGGTTGCACTGCGCCATGTGTATATTTATTGAGGACTAGCATATTCCCTGGGATAGGGTGGTACAGAATAAATGCTTCCTATCGTTCTCATCATTGTCGAGTACCACGAGCAGGGCTGAATGCCTGAAGAAGGCTTGTGGCTGCCCTGAGCAAATGTCTCCTAAAGATTTACGCTACGTCTTCCTGAAGTGCAGTCATCCCTCTGGCTATGAGTAGCCATAGAACTAAGAATGGTGATTGGTGATTGCTTTCTCTAAGCCACTCCAGTCTGCAGAAAATGTGATCTGCCGTGTGAATCATAGGTTATAATCTCTATACAAAGTAATTTTGCAGTTTATTATTATAAAATTTACTTAACCACCTGTGTATTGTTTTCCAGTTTATGTGGCATACAAGAAATGTCATGGAAAAAATAAGGCAGAACTTCCAGAGCAAAGAAAATGAAACGGAGCGTGAGTCACTGTCTTATAAGATGAATGGAGGATTTCAACCGGATGAAAAGTAGACACCAAATGGACAAAAAAGACGAGTTCTAAATTACATTCTTAAACCATAACTATATTTAATTATGTTTTGGTGGGATAGTTGGCAGAAAAGAGTTAAACTAAAAATTTGAATTTCATTTGAATTCATGTATTGGTTTCAATACCAAGTGACTGGTGGTCCAATTCTCTAATGTGACAAATATTGTTTCATATATATATATGTATATATATATATGCTTTATATATGTATATATACTCATATAGATATATTGTCATTGAAATATTCCCCCAAAATATTCTTAGACTAAACCTGACATAGGTAACACTGAGAATGAGAACACTGTAACACCAAAACTTAATTCTTACACAGAGTTTCCTAGCCCAGAGATGAGGACTTGACTTTCTGTATGTTAAAATAGACATAATGAATTATTATTATAGTGGTCAAGATTTTCTTCAGTATTTATGATTGTAAAAATTGACATGAACATCTTTCACTAACATTTTAATCATTATTCTGAAAACTTTGCAACCTATTTATTTATATAACTTTGTAATATAACATGGGCAAAAACCTGACTTCTGTATTTTTAAAAAATTGCCTTCTCCAGTGACAGTTCAAAGGCAGAAATGAGAGGAAATTATTATGAAGTAAAATTCAATAACCATATTGAATGCAGACTCAACTCAGCAGGGATATTGCACATCTGTTGCTCTACCTCAGGGGTCCAGGGATACCCACTAGATCTTTCAAGGACAAACCTAATTCTTTTAAATGGTTTGTATTTGGCAAAGAGCTCTTCAAACCTGGGAGCGAGACCTCCTCCAGGTTTTCCTGTGTGCAGCAAGTCCACGTGACTAATATGACAGCTATTCCGTTCACAGGCACCACCCGCAGTAGACATCATGGTCAGGGAGTTGGCAGGAGGTGCACAGACAGAAGTATTGGGAGAAACACCTTGACTCTAGTGGAAGAATTAATTCAATGGGAGATAGTAAAAAATACATAGAAAAGGCCAGGCGTGGTGGCTCAAACCTGTAATCCCAGCACTTTGGGAGGCCAAGGTGGGTGGATCAGGAGGTCAAGAGATCCAGAACATCCTGGTCAACATGGTGAAACCCTGTCTCTACTAAAAATACAAAAAATGAGCTGGGCATGGTGGCGTGTGCCTGTAATCCCAGCTACTCAGGAGGCTGAGACAGGAGAATTGCCTGAACCCAGGAGGCGGAGGTTGCGGTGAGCAGAGATCGCGCCATTGCACTCCAGCCTGGGTAACAAGAGCGAAACTCCGTCTCAGGAAAAAACACACACACACACACATAGAAAAGCACAAATAACAGAAACCCAGTTGAAATGCTTAACCACAGTCAATTAGATGTACAGGAGTAAGTAGTTTAAGAAGAATCAAGTCCAGGAGTGATCGGGAAATGAGTATTAGGCAGTATTCAAAAAACAGCCAGGAGTATCTGGTATATGGCAGGAGGGGTTTATGGCTGCCAGGGGGAAATAGCTGGTCAAGTGTTGGGCTCTCAATTATAAGATCAAATTTAATTTTGTTTCCCTGATTCTGTAGCAATCAGAATACATCATCTTAACCACTGGGGCCTTAGTGATTTTGTTCCATTGTGCACTAGATATTTCCACTGCCTCATAGTCCGTTGCAAATGTTTTGGCTGAAAGGACTTTTTACATTTACATGTTCTGAATTCAGATCCTGCTGGTGCACCCAAGCATTATGGGAACTAAAATGGACTAAATAATTTTAAGAGATAGTGGAGGAGAGGGGGTACAGATTTCCTTCTTAGAGAATGTCAAAGAATATGCTCCCAACGGTGGAAAAGGAAGATTTTCACTCTACTGGCTAAGTACCTCCTACACATTTCTCATCAATCAGAAAACAGACAGGTGCACTTAAGGGACCATAAAAATTCATATTGTAATTTCAACACACCAAAAATCAAGTCCCCAGATGCCAGCAGCTGCAGCAAGAAAGTTTTTCCTCCCTGTTGATCAAGACAGGTGAGCAAGACAGAACTTGGCTTTCTAACATGATGTGGTATCTTGTGACTTGTGTCTTTTTCCCTAATATGCTAGTGGGAAGAAAAATAGCTGAGCTTTCTAAAATGATAGCTCTATATTTTTAAGTGAATTTGAAAAGTTGATTAAATTATGTATTTTATTGCCTCTGTGAGTATCATATTAAATGAATATTTTATTTTAAATACTTAAATAAATAAAAATGATTTTTGTAAAGTTTGGTCTAGCTGAATCTTTGTGACTACCGTCGAGATTTTTCTCACTGCTCAATTCCAGAGATACAAATAAGGTAGAGTTTCTCAGATATTAAATTGTTCTTTGGAAAGTGCCTGAAAGAAACTCTTAATTAAACACTCTCATAATTCGGTCTCCCACTGATACTGACTGGGATTTTCCTCTAGAAAATCAGACAAGGGGAACATTAATTAATGACTCTTAAAAATAGTTTGACAATGATAACTGATTTAAAATAATAATAAAAGTATTTTATGAATTTATAAAGCCACCATCTTCTACAAAATAGTGATGTATATACATATATATACACCATGTATATGTATATGTATATGTATATGTATATGTATATGTATATGTATATGTATATGTATGTGTGTGTGCATATACACACATACACAATGAATAGTCTATTTAAAATAATAAAAGTATTTCATGAAGCTTTCACCTCCCACAAAATGGTAGTAGGTAATATATATTTTATATATATACATATCATATATATATATAATATATACATACACACAGAAAGAATTATATAGTCCTTGCGTTAAAATCTCTCATACATGAGACTTGAAGAAATTCAGGTTATCAACCTCATTTGACTCCTCCTCAAAGATATCATTCTCTTTTCCAGCTAGGAAACTCTCACTCTCTTCCAGCAGGAAACAATTTCTCTCCTTGGAATATTTAGTATCCCATTGCTTCTCAATTCTTCACCTTGTCAAAAACCACATAAGTTTAGAACAACAGTCTTCAAACTGTGGTGTGGTTACCCCTGAGAGTTCACGAAATTGTTCGAAGGGTATGCAGGCATGGATAGGGAGTAAGTTTCCATTTCAGCAACCTGCAGACATATGCCTTCCCCAACTGCTCTCCTGAGATGCCCAGTGTCGAGTTGTCCTGGGTTCCCTGTTCCCACCTCCTCTTTCATGGCCAGCCCTTATTCTCAGCCCTAATCTTACTATGGTGCATTGGTCAAAGGTAGGAACACTTTTGAACACCAAGCAAACAATTTCAAATATTGATATCTGAGAAAAGCTTATCTTCCCCAATTGTATGAATATGTATTTAATGATTTAGACATGAAGTATTTGGGCCTGTGTTAGAATATTTGTATAGATATGTATTTAATAATTTAGAAGACTGTGTGGCAATTCCTCAAGGATCTAAAAATAGAAATACCATTTGGCCCAGCAATCCCATTACTGGATATATACCCAAAGGATTACAAATCATTCTATTATAAAGAAACATGCACACGTATGTTTTTTGTGGCACTGTTCAAAATAGCAAAGACTTGGAACCAACCCAAATGCCCATCAATGATAAACTGGATAAAGAAATGTGGCACATATACACCATGGAATACTATGCAGCCATGAAAGAGGATGAATTCATGTCCTTTGCAGGGACATGGATGAAGCTGGAAACCATCATTCTCAGCAAACTGACGCAAGAGCAGAAAACAAAACACCGCATGTTCTCACTCATAAGTGGGTGTTGAACAATGAGAACACATGGACACAAGGATACCAGGGCCTGTCAGGGGGTGGGATTCTAGGGGAGGGATAACAGGGGGTGGGGGGGATAGGGGATGGATACATCACTTTTAAATACATCCAGTGAAATCTACATACCTCATAGATATGATACTTATTACCTATTTTTTTTAAATGAGAAGTCTGCCTTTATTTTTCAGAATTTTACATTGTTTTTCTTTTGACTAGAATGTATGTGAATCTATTTTCCATTATAGAATTTTATTCTAATGTAATGTATTTATGAAAGTTTTGATACTGTGTGTATTTTTGGATAAGTAGTATGTGGTTAGACAAAAGCCTGGAATGCAATACATCCTACCCTGTTATTGTTAGACTGAGACAGAGTTCAGCAAGTATTTTGTGCCTCTATTTTATGGATTTAAGTGCTTATAAAACTTCTTTACATAAAGAGGAAGACGGTAAGAAGAGGATTTTTGGTATACATTGTCCCTCAAATTTCCAACTTACAAGTGAAAACAATAATCACTTAGTGGTCTATCATCAAAACTCTTTTAAAATATAAGGATTAACAACTTGACGGGATTCTCTTTCAGCTTTCTTGAAAGTAAAGAATTGGAATTACCCATGCTTCAAAGTGCTTCTTGAACTGAAGTCATTTGCCATCTCAAATCCTGGGAAATGTGCTACCAAAGGCTTTAGTAGCTGTATCAAAGAGCTCTAGACTCTGTTACACTTCTACATAGAGTCTCCAAATTGCACTCTATTCTAAAAACAGGGTTGGGAAGATATAAGTAGTAGACACAATTCCTGCTACATCTTGGGCAATAAAATATTTGATCAGCTTTATTATGATAACATTTACATAGAAAAAGATTCCACAATTTTAAATGTACAGATCTACGAATTTTGACAAATGTATGAAGTTGTGCATCCGCCCCCAAAGTTATGATATAGAACTTTTCTGTCACCCCCGAATGGTACATCAGGTCTTTTTGCAGCAATTCCCTCCCCAGGTGCTTGATGCCTAATTGGCTTTCTATCACAATTTTATTTCTGGTTACCTTGGGGAAATACCTAGGAGGGAGATTGCTCGGTTCCATGGTTAGTGTATGTTTATTAGAAGCTGCAACATGTTTTTGAAAGTGGTTGTACAACTAGCAATCTATGAGACCTACTGTTTACATTCTTGTCAAAACTTGTTATTATCAGCATTTTATTCCTTTTAGCTATTTTATTGGGCATGCTGTGGTACCTTATTGTGGCTTTAATTTGCATTTATCTAATATTAAGTTGTATTGAGTATCTTCTCATGAATGTACCTCCCATTACCATGTGCTCATTTGCTTTTGGTACCATTCTTTCCTGAAGTGTCTATTTAAATTATTTTGTTCATTTTTTCAAATGGGTTCCTTGACTTCTTATTATTGATTTTTAAGAGTTCTTTATATATTTTAGATCAATTATTTTATAGGGTGCTTTTTATATGTTTTATTTGTTTTTTATTATTATACCTTAAGTTCTAGGGTACATGTGCAGATTGTGTAGGATTGTTATATAGGTATACACATGCCATGGTGGGTTGCTACATCCATCTATCCTCCCATCACTTATGTGAGGTATTTCTCCTAATGTTATCTTTCCCCATGCCCCACCCTCTGCTATCCCTCTCCTAGCCCACCCTGCAACAGACCCAGGTGTGGCAGAAATAAAGATGTTCTTCAAAACCAACGAGAACAAGGACACATCATATCAGAATCCCTGGACACATGTAAAGCAGTGCCTAGAGGGAAATTTATAGCAATAAATGCCCACATGAGAAAGAAGGAAAGATCTAAAATCAACACATTGTCATCAAAATTGAAAGAACTAGAAGAACAAGATCAAAAAAACTCAAAAGCTAGCAGAAGACAAGAAATAACTAAGATCAGAGCAGAACTGAAGTAGATAGAGATATTTTAAAAAACCTTCAAAAAATCAATAAGTCCAGGAGCTGGTTTTTTGAAAAGATCAACAAAATAGACTGACTGCTAGCCAGATTAATAAAAAGAAAAGAGAGAAGAATCAAATAGATGCAATAAAAAACGATAAAAGGGATATCACCACTGATTCCACAGAAATACAAACTACCATTAGAGATTACTACAAACAGCTCTATGCAAATAAACCAGTAAACCTGGAGGAAATGGATAAATTCCTGGACACTTGCACCCTCCCAAGCCTAAACCAGGAAGAAGTTGAAACCCTGAATAGAGCAATAATAAGAGCTGACATTGAGGAAGCAATTAATAGCCTACCAACCAAAAAAAAGCACAGGTCCAGGTGGGTTCACAGCTAAATTCTATCAGACACACAAAGAGGAGCTGGTACCACTCCTTTTGAAACTATTCCAAACAATCCAAAAAGAGAGAGTCTTTCCCAAATCGTTTTATGAGACCAACATCATCCTGATTCCAAAACCCGACAGAGACTCAACAAAAAAAGAAAACTTCAGGCCAATATCCATGATGAACCTAGAGGCAAAAATCTTCAATAAAATACTGGCAAACCAATTGCAACAACACATCAAAAAGCTTATCCATCACAGTCAAATAGGCTTCATCTGGGGATGTAAGGCTGGTTCAACATACGCAAGTCTATAAACGTGATCCACCACATAAACAGAACCAAAGACAAAAATCACATGATTATCTCAATAGATGCAGAGAAGGCCTTCAACAAAATTCAACAGCCTTTATGCTAAAAACTCTCATTAAACTAGGTATCAATGGAACGTATCTTAAAATAATAAAAGTTATTTACAACAAACCCACAGTCAATATCATGCTGAATGGGCAAAAACTGGAAGCATTCTCTTTGAAATCTGGCACTAGACAAGGATGCCCTCTCTCACCACCCCTATTCAATATAGTATTGGAAGTTCTAGCCAGAGCAATCAATCAAGAAAAAGAAATAAAGGGTATTCAAATAGGAAAAGAGGAAGTCAAATTGTCTCTATTTGCAGACAACATGATTGTATATTTAGAAGACCCCATCATCTCAGTTCAAAATCTCCTGAAACTGATAAGTAACTTCAGCAAAGTTTCACAATATAAAATCAATGTGCAGAAATCACAGGCATTCCTATACACCAATAACAGACTTAAAGACAGCCAAACCAAGAATGAACTCCCATTCACAATTGCTACAAAGAGAATAAAATACTTAGGAATACAACTAATAAAAGATGTAAAGGACCTCTTCAAGGATAACTCCAAACCACTGCTCAAGGAAATAGGAGAGGACACAAACAGAACTGGAAAAAAACACCTTAAACTTTATATGGAACCAAAAGAGAGCCCACATAGCCAACACAATACTAAGCAAAAAGAACAAAGCTGGAGGCATCATGCCACCTGACTTCAAACTATACTATGAGGCTACAGTAATCAAAACAGCATGGTACTGGTACCAAAACAGAGACATAGACCAATGGAACAG